CTCAGCTGGGGTGGCTCTGCCTCCCGGGAGGCATCTGGCAGTGCCCTCAGTGGGAGGGCCAAGGAGGCCACTGCTAGCCTCAGGGGGTAGAGGCCAGGGATGCTGTCGGAGGCCACAGGGGCCCACAGCAGAGTCCGGAGGTCGAGTGTCCCCGGCTGGGGTGGGTGCACTGCGGCTGCCTGGGTTCAGCTGAGGCCTTTGGGCAGTTTAACTCACCTCTCCGTGTCTCAGTCTTCTCTCTGTAAACGGGGGACAAACTGTACCCCCTCACACAGGGTTGGGGGATCAGATGATCCACCCCACGGAGTGGGCCTTCCGCAGCGCCTGTGCGTTCTCCACGGCCCCCGCCCCCCTTCAGAAAGCCCACAGTCCAGGGGAGACAGGAGAGTGACTCCCGAGATGGACTTCAGTCTGGGACCCTGCGGATCTGGGCACAGGAAGACCTGCCTCTGCAGCTTGGGGAGCGGGGGGCCTGCAGGAGGAGGTGGCTCAAGTTGAGCCGTGCCGGGCAGGAGGCATGGAAGGGCCTGCTGGCGAGAGGAACGGCCCGTGCAAAGTCATGAAGGCACACAAGACCCCGGAGGCCACCTCCTCTCCCATCACTGCGTCCGCCTCTTCCTGCCTTTTGGCACCCATATCTCGGGGGCGGGCCAGGTAGCTCCCGTGGCAGGTGAGATGGTTTTAGGTGGGGACGCTGCCCACGATCGAGCTGTGTCCTTCCTGGTGCTGTCTTCTCTTTTGAACTCATCAGGAGTGGGGTCTCGGTGATGGGGGCTGAACGCAGGTGGACTTCATGGGGTGGTGGGAACGGGTCACTTCTCAATCGTGGTGGCAGTAACAAGGGGGCTAACCCTGGACAGAGCTGGCGGGCCCTACGCTCAACATCTGCACGCTCCCGTCATCAGCTGTATACATGTGAGACCTCAATAAACAGAACGTGGGCAGTGCAGCTGCCGAGACCGGCCCCCGGGTCTTGCTTGAATTTGGTGACTTCTATTTTTGCTGTATTTTTACCCTGCCTGCCGTTTATGGAGGTGACACCGATTTTCCGTTTGTGGTAGCAGTATGAAGTTTCCTTTTAAAATACAGCAAAATTAACATGCGAATGAATTTAAATAGAAATATTAAGTCAGTAATATCTTCTGGGGTTGCAAGGGTTCTGGCGTCTCTCGAGGACCCGGGGTGGTGGGAGAGAGCCAGCTCCTGCAGGGGGTGGGCGCAGGGACGGCCGTGCCAGGGTGCCGCAGCCCCAGGAGAAATCTCGGCTACTGCAGGAAATGTTTCACTGATGCGCTGGTTGTGAGACTTGCTGTCCAAAACCCAGAGGACGGAGAAGCCGGTGGTTATTAATTACCGCCATCCTCCCCGCCTGCCGCTCAAATCCAGTCTTGAGGAGAGGGGAGGGAAAAGGACAGCAAGGCTCTGCCGCGGGGATTAATTAAAACCAGTGCGAATGCTCGACACTTCAGAGTGCAGTAAAGCCGGCTGTCTGGCTGTTTCTCGGGGCTCTCCGGGAGTGGCAGTGACTTATGCTTTGTGCCTGCATTTCTGGGGCTGTCCACAGCAGCCCCGGGTGTTTCTGATAAGCTGCAGTGCAGTTTTTTTCTGATAAGGCCAGAATTTTTGCTAAGAGGCTTAGTTTTGCTGGTTTGCAGAGCGGTGGACTCTCAGAGTGTTGTTGGACATGGACTTGGCGCTGATCTTCCCCTTGATTACAGATTTCTGCTCTCTTACCTGCCAGGAAGGCATGTGCGAGTGTGTGTGTGTGTGTGTGCGCGCGCGCGCGTGCCTGGACATGTGTGTGAGCATGCCGGCGTGTGTGTGCACAAGTTCAAACACAAGTTTACCCTGGCTGCAACTTCACAAGAACTCCAGACCCCACAGACTCTAGCTAGAAAAATCAGAGGGCCTCAGAGCCAGAAGCCACAGAGGAGATGGATTCCGTTTCACACCCCTCTGTTCTGAAATGAGGAGCTTGAGGCCGAGAGTGGGTGGGGGACTTTTCCAAAGTCACCCAGCTAGGTAGTGGCAAAGCAGGACTTGATTTTCAGTTTCCTGCTTCGTAAGCCAGGGTTCCGTTGCCACATATGCTGCTCTGTCCCCTCCCCCTCCCCCAGCCCGTAAAGTAAAATCTTTAAAATGCTGGGGCGTTATATTCCTTTTCTGTACGTAATGCAGAGGTAGGAAAGTCTCCTTTCTGCTGTGCCTCCATCCCTGGTTACTTAGCCTCTTCCTGCGGGGAAGTCATCGCTACCTGTAACTTCCAGAAAACCAAGTGATCTGTGCACTGTGCGCGCGTGCATGCACACGTGTGTGTGCCTTCTCTCACCCACCCTTTTCATCCCGTGCACAGCGTCTCCAGACCACCTTTCTTCTTCAGTGCTAAATCTTAGTGCTGTTCCATTTCCATGCACAAGGGACCAGGATCTAGGCCATTCCCACGGGGTGGACTTCAGTTTGCTTCCAAGCCCTTGACAACAGACAGGTCTCCGGGAACCGTCTTATGCACACTTCATCTTGCACAGATGAGAGTGTCCCTGCAGGATCAATTTCTAAGAGTGGCATTGCTAAGATCCCAGGGCATGTGTGCCTGGAGTTCTGACAGATATTACTCCATCATCCTCTCTAGACGAGGTTGCTGCTGTCTGCCTTTGGGTTTGGATATTAGCATCTTGAGTTCCAGTGTCCCACAGAGACTTTTTTGAACTTCAACTAGCTGACAAAATTTTTTTTGTTGAGCCCCTGCTTTGTGGCAGGTGCCATCTGGGTGCTGGAGATAGTGTGGGGCAAGAGAACCCCATGGCCTTTACTGATGGGTTGGGGGCAGGCAGATGATGATAAGATGACCCCACAGTTATCTCACTAGAACTTGGAACAGTGCAGGGTAGGCAGCGGCCTGAGCCAGTCAGGAAGCCAGGAAGCCTCTGAGAGCCCGTGGCACTCTGGAGCTTGTGGGCCTCAGTGAGCTTTGGATGTGTGGAGAAGGGGTGAGGAGTGTTGTCAAGGCTGAGGGAGCTGCACATGCAAAGGTCCTGGGGTGGGAAGGAAGGAGGTGCTCCCCACAAAGTCCAGTTTAGCTGGTGTCCAGAGAGAGGGAGGCAAGAGAGTGGAGAGAGGAGGGACTAGGAGATCCCCGGCCAGGCTGGCCTAATGGAAGCCATTCACCTGTACCCCGAGAGCTGTGGGAAGCCATTTTGGGACTTTTACCTGAAGTGGAGTCACCTACAGACCCTCTGAGATCAGTTCAGCTAAGCTAGACTGCACTTCCTCCAGGGTGACCCCAAAAGGGCACAAGGAGGTTGAGGATCCCCTGAGTGTCCACGCTCACTCCCCGGCATGAGCTAGGCTGGCAGCTTCAGGAAGAGGTCCACCGCTGGCCGGGCACCATTCCCTGTTCATCTGTTCTCTCAACCACTCCACCAGTGTTAGTGGAGGGCCAGCCAGTGCCAGGCACTGTGGTAGGAGCTTGGCAAACAGCACGGAGCCACAAGAGACACAGTCCAGCCCTGGCAGAGCCTAGTGTCCAGGGCAGGGTCGCAGACTTCCACAAAGGGCCAGATAGTAAATATCGTAGGCCCTGTGGTCAGTGTGGCCACAACTCTGAGCTTGGGTGGCCCGCCCCCCCAGGCCCCGTATAAATGAACCAGCGTGGCTGTGTTCCAATAAAACTTTATTCACAGACGCAGTCTGTGGGCCAGATTTGGCTTGTGGGCCCTAGTTGGCCTCTCTGGGTTTAGCAGGATGAGTTCCCCAAACAGAGAGGTGTCTGATGTGATGTGAGCTGGTAGAAGGTGCCAGTGGAGAAGAGGTGGCAGGTGAGGGGTGGAGGTGATCTTGCCGATGGTCGAGGCAGATGCTGGCTGAGCAGAGACATACAGGAATCTGCCAGGGAAGCCGCCCGGGAAAGGTCTCGGGGGAGGAGCTCTGAGTCAGGCACTGCTTGACAACAGACGCCCACCGCCAGGCTGCTGCTGAGTCAGCCTGGGGAACCGTGGGACCAGGCTGGGCAATGCTTTAGGGCCTGTCTACAGGGTCAGGGGGGCCTTGACGAAGGGTTTCTAGAGTGGACGTCTCATTAGCTATGGCCTGGAGACCAGCCTGGAGGGGGAGAGGGAAGGCATGGGGAGACCAGAGGAGGTGACCACAGAGTTCAGGGGGGAGCAGAGCGGGGCTTGGACCAGGGTGGGCATGATGGGTGGGGGGACGTGTGAGTTTGGTTTGTGTGTGGGCAGCAGAGCACTGAGGGTTTGCTGAGAGCTGGTACGGGGCAGCGCCCAGGAACCCAGGCTGACCCTAGTCCCTGGTGGAGAAGGTGCAGCTGGGGGGCCTTGGAGGGCAGTGGGGCCAGAGGGTGGTGGGACAAGCAGGTCCCCTGCACAGGAATCTCCTACCTGGTGGGTGCTCTGGGCTGTGCAGGGTGCCATGTGGAGGGCGCAGGTCAGTGAGACAGGATGTCTGTCTAGGGGGGTTTAGGCTTGGAATTAGGCGACAGTGTGAGGTGGGGAATGGGCTCTGTTCCTGGTTCTGAATCGGCCACTTCTGGGATCACCTAGGGTTCAGAGGCAGAGCTCTGAGGGGCACGAAATCTGCTTCATGGGTCCCAACCGGCAATGACATCAAATAGCCCCAGGAGGCTCAGAGCGCATCCTGGGTAGCAGGGTGTCATTTCGCTATGAATGTGGTGGGAGACAATCGCATTTCTTCTAAGGTTTCCATTGAAACCACCGCCTGGAGCATCAGCCCCGCTGGTCTTCCGGTCACGGCCATGTGGGTCTGGAACCAACCCTACCCTGCACTCAAAAGGCCCCTCTCTCTTCAGGGGATTTGGGACGATGGCCTCACCTCCAGGTGTGGCTGCACTGCTCTAGCCGGTGGTTTGGTGTGGGCGGGGTGCTGAACAGAATGAAGTGACAGGAGGCGGCCCAGCCTGTGATTGGTGGCTCGACTTGGGACTTCTGTTTTAGAGGCTTATAAGACCCTCCTCCCCCTTCTCTTTCCAGAAGAACCGAATGCACATAAGGTCGTCAGCCCACACTCCGGAATCTACCCCGATGATGTCCCGGACTATGGCCCCAAGCCCTACAGCCCCCTGGCCAGTTTCCCGGGCGAGCCCCCCGGCCGGTTCGCAGAGCCCGATAGGGTCGGGCCCCCGAACTTTCTGAGCCCGGCCAAGCCAGCGGGGGCCTCGGGCCTGAGCCCTCGGATCGAGATCACTCCGTCCCACGAACTGATGCAGGCAGGGGGGTCCCTCCGCGCCAGGGACTGCGCCCTGCTGGTGGAGCCGCCGGCGGCCGGCCCGAGGTTCACGCTGCCCGTGCCCGGCTTCGAGGGCTACCGCGAGCCGCTTTGCTTGAGCCCCGCTAGCAGCGGCTCCTCTGCCAGCTTCATTTCCGACACCTTCTCCCCCTACACCTCGCCCTGCGTCTCGCCCAATAACGGCGCGCCCGACGACCTGTGTCCGCAGTTTCAAAACATCCCTGCTCATTATTCCCCCAGAACCTCGCCAATAATGTCACCTCGAACCAGCCTCGCCGACGACAGCTGCCAGGGCCGCCACTCGCCCGTGCCGCGTCCGGCCTCGCGCTCCTCGTCGCCCGGCGCCAAGCGGAGGCACTCGTGCGCCGAGGCCCCGGTCGCCCCGCGGCCCGCAGCCTCGCCCCAGCGCTC